CTGGTAATGAAAATCTGGATTGGGCTAGATTAGATGTTGAGTTTTCTGTTTTCTATATATTTTTTATCGTACAAGCATCTTCTCAGATCACTTTTTAATATATTTTTTCAAAAAATTTGAAAAAATATCAACAAAAAAGCTCTATAGTACAATTAACGATCCCGACAATTATAATGAAATTTTGGAACATTTCTGATATCCGAAACAAGTCATAATTGCTGAAAAAAATTTTTTTGCCTTTCAATTTCACTGCATTACTTATGGAATGTGGTAAGCGATGAAAATACCGCTACTGATTTATTAGCTAAGTTTCATACTCAAACATTTTATAAATTGTGTAACGTTATTCTTTCCAAATAAAGTCATTTAAAAATGACAAAAGAACGTATGAAGTTTATAGCCAAATTCATATTTCCTCAATTTCATCCGTATTTAAACCAAGAAAAAAAGAAACTCGTTTGATGCTGATAAACAATGAAATCCATCGTTAAAAAAAAGCATAAAAGTCAATTTATTAATATTGTTTATTAGTGTGTGTTTGATCAATGCAAATTTACGTTTATCAAAAATGCACTTGCCAATCAAACGCTTGCCACATTTTGAAATAAAAAAAATCTCCGCTAATCTCTGCATGAAGAGCTTTCGACAATCAAATAGTCAAAAAAGGCTCGGTGAGTAGTAATTAGCAGTCGTCTGGTCCAAAAGTAAAACAACATTATGACAGTAAAGAAATTGTAATGATAGATGATTGAAATACTAATGAAATACAGCAAAATCATATTGCTAAAATTTTTATTGAAATTTTAGAAAAACTTTTACTTGAATATCTACATAATTAAGTTTTTTGATATTTACAATTGTCAAGAAAAAAAATCAGCACTTGTCATTATATCTCTGATGAACTGCGCACTAGTCTTTTTAAACTATTCTAATATAAGCTTGCAACTACATTATGTTCGAGATATTCGTATAAACAAATTATCCGTAAAATTTTGTGTTTACTCAGGTGTAAGATTAAATGTAATTTCGCTTATTTACGAATATGATAAAAAGGCGTTTCATATATCTTAACCATCATTTATTGTTTTTCGGCGATGGAGCAAACAAGTTTGAATTATCAATCTCCTTTGTCGCGTGCAGAATTTTTACGACCTTCGTGCACTCTTAGTTGGTGCGCAATCAAACCCACTTTTTGTCCAAATTTCATCTCGCACATGTCGCATGCGTGATCTCTTCGACCTTCATGGACTGTTTTTTGGTGAACGAGCAAATTACATTTTAGTCCAAATTTCTTCTCGCACTTGTCGCATGCAAAGTCTCTGCGACCTTCGTGGAACGTCCTTTGATGGTTGTGCAAATGGCTTAGAACCCCAAATTTCTTTTCGCACTTGTCGCATGCGTAATCCTTGCGACCTTCGTGGACTATTTTTTGATGTTTTCTTAAACTACCAAGTTCCCCATATCTCATCTCGCACTTGTTGCATGCGTAATCTTTCCGACCTTCGTGGACTGTTTTTTGGTGAACGAGCAAATTACATTTTTGTGCAAATTTCATCTCGCACTTGTCACATGCATGATCTCTGCAACCTTCATGGACTATTTTTTGGTGTCTGCTCAAATCGGATTTTATTCCAAATTTCTTTTCGCACTTGTCGCATGCAAAGTCTCTGCGACCTTCATGAACTGTCTTTCGGTGTAAAAGCAAATGTGGTTTTTGTCCAAATTTCTTCTCGCACTTGTCGCATGCGAAATCTTTGCGACCTTCATGGATGGTATTTATGTGCATGAGCAAACCCTTTTTCTCTGTAAATTTCTTCTCGCACCTGTCACATGCGAAATCTTTGCGACCTTCATGAACTGCCCGTTGGTGACAAAGCAAATTTGATTTTATTCCAAATTTCTTCTCGCACGTATCGCATGCAAAATCTTTCCAACCTTCGTGGATTGTCTTTTGATGGTGTAACAATTTCGATTTTTGTGCAAATTTCTTCTCGCACATATCACATACGTAATCTCTGCGGCCTTCGTGGACTGTCTTTTTGTGCAAAGTTAAACACAATTTGAGTCCAAATTTCTTCTCGCACTTGTCGCATGCAAAATCTTTACGACCTTCATGGACTGTCTTTTTGTGTGAAACCAAATGTGAATTCAGTCCAAATTTCTTCTCGCAGATGTCGCATGCATGATCTCTGCGACCTTCATGTACTACATTTTGGTGCCTGATTACATCAGCTTTTCTTCCAAATTTTTTCTCGCACTTGTCGCATGTGAAATCTTTACGGCCATCGTGTACTGTCTGTTGGTGCTTAGACAAGGCCGATTTTAGTCCAAATTTCTTTTTGCATTTCTCGCATACGTTATCTTTCTGACCTTCATGTACCATTTTTTGATGATTTCTCAAATTGCTTCGATAGCCAAATTTCTTTTCGCACCTATCACATGCGAAATCTTTTCTACCTTCATGGATGGTATTTATGTGTACGAGCAAACTCTTTTTTTCTGTAAATTTCTTCTCGCACCTGTCACATGCAAAATCTTTGCAACCTTCATGTACTGTCATTTGGTGTCTGATCAAATCCAATTTGCGTCCGAATTTCTTTTCACACTTGTCGCATGCGAAATCTTTGTGATCGTCGTGTACCATCTTTATATGCACGAGCAAACTCTGTCTATTTCCAAATCTCTTGGCGCAACTTTCGCATAGGTAATCTTTGGAAACTTCGTGGAATATTGTTTTGTGCTTGAGTAAAGATGATTTATTTTCAAATTTTTTCTCGTATTTATCGCATGCGAAATCTTTCCGACCTTCGTGCATGGTCTTTTGGTGTGAGAGCAAATGCGATTTTTTTATAAATATCTCGCCACACTTGTGGCATGCGAAATCTTTGCTACCGTTATGGACTCTCTTTACGTGTGTGAGTAACCTCTGCTTGCTTGCAAATCTCTTGGCGCACTTTTCGCATAAGTAATCTTTGAAGACTTCGTGGAATATTTTTTTGTGCTTGAGTAAAGTTGATTTATTTTCAAATTTCCTCTCGCATTTGTTGCATGTGAAACTTTCGCGATTTTTATGTACTAATTTTTGGTGAGTGAATAAACTTAATTTTTTCAAAAATTTCTTCTCGCACTGGTCACATGAAAAATCATTGCGGCCTTTGTGTTCTGATATTTGGTGTCTACTCAAATGACTTCGGAACTCAAATTTCTTCTTGCACTTGTCACAAGCGAAACTTTTTTGTTTATCGTGAATTGTGTCTCGGTGTGTTATCATACTTGATTCTTGTGTAAATACCTCGTGGCAAATGTCAGAAATGTCTTCTTTGTCGTGAGAAACAACAATATCGGTTTCACTTGAATTACCTTGAGAAACAACTTCTTCGATTTTGTTCTCACTTATATCCATTTTGGTACTTAAATTAAACGTCGGATCTTTCTATTTAGTGCTACGGAAATCGAATGAGTAAAATTTATCTTTTAGTGTTATGAATTGTTTCTTCAGGAAAGACAACATTCAAACTAATTTGATTTTTCTATAAATATGATCAGTGTGTCGATTGGCTATGTCGAAATCGTTCTTAATTAGATTGATAACAATTAAGCTACCGATTTATTGGCTTCACGTTGTTATTATAATTTTTAAACTGTTCAAAAGTGGAAAATAGAAAACTGACCAAGAAATCGGAGGAGGACACTTGACTTTTGACCTAAAACGTATGAATTGTGATGAGTTAGTGATGAAGTGATGTGTTTTAAAAATGTATGCGATTGGATCATTTACTTTTAGGTACCTTTTCTATTATTAGCATCAGTTGGCCACTTGAAATTTTAATCGTGATAAAAAACTTACTTGTTCAACTGGCCACATGGCCCCCATCTTAAATGTCTCAGTTGAAGTATTTACTCAAGTTGGTTTTTATTACAGCGTAGTGAAATCGTACCTCTAATCTTTAGACTAACAAGGAGAGCTCTCCAAGTCCGGGTCACCGAATGCCCTGAAAATTTTTTTGTGATCTCCTATTACATGATGATGATCCCCCATACAGTTAGTTTGATCCAATGGGCCCTAAAACAATACTTTTACGCATGGTCAAGATTGGAATATTTTTAACGATAATAAATACCATATAATAGCCTATCATGGTCAGGCTTAAAACAGTCAATTCTAACTGACTGAACAGCATTGTTACTTTGTGTTTTTCAAGTTTTTAAACACTTATTCAAAAAATAAACACTGTAGCTCAATTGGTATACTATGCAAGTCTCAAAGAGCGAACCAATTTGAGCCAAAATTAAAGTACTTTACTATAAGTATTGATGCAAAAGATTGAAATAAAAATTTTATATTATTAAACTCAATGTTCCTTCTTTTTCATCCATTTTTGACACTTCATTGATTATGTTTTAAGTGCCAGATTACCTCATCAATAATGCTGGAAATTAAAGTACTTTACTATAAGTACTTTAATTTTAGCTCAAATTGGTTCGCTCTTTGAGACTTGCATAGTATACCAATTGAGCTACAGTGTTTATTTTTTGAATAAGTGTTTAAAAACTTGAAAAACACAAAGTAACAATGCTGTTCAGTCAGTTAGAATTGACTGTTTTAAGCCTGACCATGATAGGCTATTATATGGTATTTATTATCGTTAAAAATATTCCAATCTTGACCATGCGTAAAAGTATTGTTTTAGCGCCCATTGCATCAAACTAACTGTATGGGGGATCATCATCATGTAATAGGAGATCACAAAAAAATTTTCAGGGCATTCGGTGACCCGGACTTGGAGAGCTCTCCTTGTAAGTTTACGGCGCGGACTAGTGTTTCTTTGCTATCGGACTGAGTTTACAGGACTGCCAACGTGTATGTTCATCTCTCACTGCTACATTTTATATTTCTAAAATCAGAGGTTTATTACAGTCTAATTGAGTCTGTTTTTCTGATTTTCGGCCGAATATCTGTGCTACAGTAAATCGTTACATTGCGCGGAAATGTGACAATATCGCTCTCGCTCTTGCCAATTGTTCTCGCTGTTTGAGTGTTCGAAAGTGTCGCTCGTCGTCAAACGAACGTTTGATCATTGTGTGAATGGTGAACTCGTCAGTACACGTCACAAGGCCGCTGAGCGAGCAAAGGAAAGGTCCCGTCGACCGCAGCAAGTGATTTTGGTGAAAAAAATATCCTGAATTATAAGCGTTTATATTCGTGTGCGAGAGTGTATAACGATGGCTGATAACGACCAGGAGTGGTTGAGACGAGTACAAACTCTGCGCCAAAATCTCATGAACCGGATTGTCGGTTCGAACATCTACCAATCTCAACGAAATTTACTCTATCGATTTTACCTACTGACCAACTTCCAAAGGGTGGACCAACTTCCAAATCTGCGAGAATTTTTTCGAGGAGAAGAAATTGACTGGATTCTCGCGGAGTTTGTGAAGTCTGCGACATATGACTACAGTGACAATCGAGAGACACTAATCAATTTTGTGATCAGGACTGGCTACAAGGACGAGCCCGAAGTTGATAAAGACGGCAGACCATTGCTACATCGAACCACAGCACTACACCACGCGGACAAAAGCTGTGAATATTACAGATTTGCCATGGTCAGTGATCTTTTCAAAATATACGACAGATTCGACGCCAATTACACTGATGAGTACGGTTATACACATTTCCACGTGGCATGCGAGTTTGAATGTTATGAAGCAATACAGCAATTCCTCGATCTCGGCCAAGATCCAAATTGCCCCGTGCCGAAGACAGGTAATTCACCGCTACACTTGGCTCTGATTCGCAGACACACGGAGGTAGCCGAATTGCTGTTGATCTATGGCGCTGATCCAAATTTGGCCAACAAGTCCGGATCGACTCCTCTGCATCTTATTTGCGAGATATCTGACCTAGAATTCAAACGGCTACGTACTATTCCTAAATTTGTTGATACATTCTTCAAGATCTGCGATGAAAAGCGCCAAACGGTGCAGGTCGACGTTCGAGACAAGTCAGGCCAGACGCCGTTGCACTTGGCTCTTGAACGCATCAAAGAGAAGGAGGCCGAACTGCTGCTGAGGCGAGGTGCCAATCCGAATCTAGCCAACGAGGACGGATCGACACCTTTGCATCTCATTTGCACGAGATACGACGAGAATGACTTCGTGGAGACTTTCTTCAAGATCATCGACGATAAACATCAGCCGTTGGAAGTCAACGCCCGGGACAAGTGGGGCCGTACGCCGCTGGAATACGCCGTGGAGCGTCTCTTGCCGATTACGGTCGATTTTCTCTTGGATCACGGTGCCGATGTTTCCAACTTCGTTTTTCCCAATGTGAGTCAATCAGACGACCCGCCATTCCACGGCGGCAATCGGTTGATGCTGGCTTGTCGCGTTCTGCTCTGCGCCCAGCATCTGGAAGAGAGAGGATACGAACTGGACCGCGACGACGTCCTGACGATGATGAAATGGTACACAATGTGCGATTCAATGCGCGTTGTTGGACTGTCGCGTTTATGCGAAGAAGACAAAAACTTATTAAGGGAAGAGAAAATAATGAAAATGAATACAGGTAGGGGTCTGACAGTCTACGACCTGCTTTATTTAGAACCCGAAGAGGCGGCGAAACGAGTCGTTTATAAGGACTGCTACGACTTGACGCGCTCGCAAAAGTATAATCGGTGGTTCTCCAGCGAATTCAGAGAAGCTTGCGCCAATAATTTGTGCGATGTGCTGCCGAGGAGACATTTTCTACGTTGGACACTGGATCCTTTTATGGAGCTGATAAACTACAGGCTGCCACATCTCCCTTGTGAAATGATCTTGGATAACTTAAATATTGTGGATTTATATAGTATTTGTCTGGCGGTTTCAGGCAAAAATTCATGACTTTGATAAGCATATTTGTAGGTTTTTTTGAAAGTCTGGTGTTTTTTGCAAGTTTCTGCAAATTTTTCACATCATTCAAGTAAATAAATGTAAGATAATTTGATTTTTTTGTTTCTTTTAATGATCACAGGCGAAGAAAGCGACTTTGTGTGTTTAGGAATTACGAGCTCAATTTAACCATCTAAAAATGGTAAAATTAATGAATGTATCTGCATAGTTTTAAGAAATGACATACAAACTATACAAAAAATAATTATTTTTCTAATGATCTTAATAATCATTATTATACCCAAAAGCAGGAAAGAACTTTTTAACGAAATTATTTATTAATTCAATTGAAACCATATTTATCGTTATAAAATATCTCAATTCAAAATAAACCTCTTCTATGAAAATAAACTTATATAATTAATGTAATGATTTATTATTATTATCAATTTTTTTTAACTAAACATAAATTAAGCACATTTAAATGGAATGTTTTATTTTCATCAGAGTGAATTAATTGTTTGTGAGACAATCGAAGCTCTGAAAGCTGAATTTGCCGCTTGAATTGAGTTTAGTGGTTTTTAACGTAAGATACGTTATGCCTCATCTTGTCCCAACTGCGTGTCTCATTGTACCCCGTGCTTATATTTTTTAAATTTACGATTTTCTGTTCAAATTTTGCAACAAATTGAAATTTATCTATTGGTATATATTCTAAAATTGGTCAAGTTTAATTTTTTGTGTCAAAATCGTTTCTCATTCAATTTTGCGGTACATTTTTTCTAATTTTCATGCCCCGTGTTCCCCTGCGTCAATAATGTTCGCGATTGTTTAAAATAACACCTTGCATTTCGGTATATATACGTGATATCGGTTTATTATATTTAAAATACATTTGCTGTAAAAAGAGACATTCGCTGGGCTCTTGATGTATTTGTACAATAGTGATAATAGATTTTTTGAAATAAAAAACATATTTACGCGCGTTTCGTACGATGAGTTAACCGTGAAAAACAAACGTGGGCGATAATCTTTGATTCTTCGGACGGCCTTACGCATCTCTGTCCCTATCACACTCGCTCCTGTCTCACTTCTCGCGCTGTGGGTGTTCGAACGTGTACGTTGCTCGGTCAAACGAGCGGTGGTAGCTGCAGGCGCACTGGTTAACTCGCAACCGTGAATGATAGTCAGTTCATGTTACGACGCCGCTGAGTTCAGAACAAAGAAACATCCCAATTCTCAACGACCGCTGCAAGTGATTTTGGTGAAAAAGAGTATCTTGAATTTAATCGGCGATTGTATTCGTGTGTACAAGTGTATAACGATGGCTGAAAACGACCAAAAGTGTTCAAAGAAATTAAAAATTCTATGACAAAATGTCAGTTGGAAAATCAACGAAGATCGATGCAAACTACTCAACTTTATCCTCTGATCAGACGTTGGAAGGGCTAACTTCCAAATCTGCGAGACACTTTTCGAGAAGAAGAAATTGACTGGATTTTAATAGAAGCTGTGAAAACTGTGAAGGCCAGTGACAACAATAAATATCTAGCCCTACTAATCGATTTTGTGATCAGGACCGGCTGCAAGGACGAGCCTAAACTAGGCACAGACGGTGGACCATTGCTACATCGAACCACAGAACTACACCACGCGGCCAGAATCGGTGAATTTTACAGAGTTGCCATGGTCGGTGATCTTTTCAAAATATACGACAGATTCGACTCTGGTTTAACGCATTTCTACGTGGCATGCAACTCGGTATGTTATGAAGCAGCACAGCAAGCACGCCGAATACTGTCAATGTGCTTTTGGATCGTGGCGCCAATTTGCCCAGCTTCGTTTTCCCAAATGAGAGGAATTTTGACGGAGGCTTTCGATTTATAAAAGAGCGAAGTGGATGTAAATTGATGCTTGCATCTGTTCTGATGGCCGTCATCAAACGTCTCGAAAAAAGAGGATACCAACTGGACCGAAGCGACGTTCCGATCGGCATGAAAATGTTCGCCAAGCACGAATTGTTCGAGAAGTCGGTAAATCCCGCAAAATATTGGTACGACGACAAGGAGTTCGCCACCAAAGCCAAAAATACAATGGTAAATACGAGCCTGTCACTCTACGACCTCATCCAGTTACGACCCGAAGAGAGAGAAAAAATTACTCACGACTATTTCGAGTTCACGAAGTCTAAAAATTGGTGGGAACTTTCCGTAACTCATTGAAAGGCTTTTGTTACGCTATTAAACGAGAAAATTTACAGAACATTTATTTGTCGTTGAGCCGTGGAATTTTTCTTGCAGCTGAGGAGCTACCACCTACCAATTCTCTGTTGTGAAATGATCATCGAGCAGTTAAGAAACGAAGATACAGGTTGTATTTGCTTGGCATTTACTGTCCAAAGCTTGTGATATTTATAAACACTGCTCTTTTGCATTAGCTCTATTTTTCAATATCTAGTGGAATTAAATTTTGCAAATTTTCTCCATTCTAATAATCAAATTAAATGAAATTAAATATTTTTTTAAAGTTTCAAATTTATTTTTTCATTCCCACTTATAACCGAAAGCGACGAAAGCAATTTTACACACATGAAATCGCGGCCGAATTTCAAAATCCCTCGCTTCAACGCTTGCGCAGCAGCAGCAGCCGTCCACAATTAGTCCATTATATTCTTTGACTTAACTCCAATATTTTCTTATGCTGAAAAAACATATTATAAGTAATCGTCAAGCTTACTTTGTGACACACACTCTGTTTAGTAAGTGAGCTAACTGAGAGAGTCGATTATGTATGAGATTAGAATCACGTAGATATTTTGATAATTCATATGCCTTACAGAATTAAAAAAATTCTGGTTTGTCAGAAGTGTACTTTTAAAATTTATATGCTTTACACAATTACAAAAAATGCCAGTTGGGCATGCGTAGCTAAGCATATTTCTCTTTCTACACGTAGATAGGGTTTCAGCGTTTAAAAGCCTACCTTTTATTCAAATCCAATGAAAGATCGCTGAAGCGTCACTATAAGCCCATCTTCTCGTAGCTGACTATTACACTTGATAAGGCATGATCCTCGCGCATATTTTTGTACGCACACTTTGTTGCGTAAGCGAGCAACCTGTACGAGTCGATCGTTTCTTGTTTTAAAATCGAGTATTTATTTTAAATTAAAACTTATGAATTAGAGAATCACAAAAGTTTCAGTTGGGCACACGTAGCTAAGCATATTTCTCTCTCTTTACTCAGATGCGTTTGTCAGCATTTAAAAGCCCAATGTTTATTCAAGTCCAAGAAGAGATTGCTTGAGCATTATTAAACTCCAATGTATTGGTACTCTAAAGTAACATTTCACAAGGCATCGTCTCGCTCACTTTTCAATACGCACTTCGCTCAGCAAGCGCGCACCGTACGAGTCGTTCATTTCCTCGTTTCAAGTCTGTTATACATTTTAATGATACTTACACTGAAAAAATTTTTCAGTGAATTCGTGTTCACGTGTGGTATTTTATTGATATCACACTATAGTGTCTTAACTTTATATTCAACAGTTAACTTGTAGAAAGTTCACGGCGATGGTGACAGGGATTCAGGATCACGTTGAACGCGATTATCAAGCACTTATTGTTGTCGATTCGACGATTGGACTAATTTTAAGTAAAATCTTACATAAACCAGCCTATTTTCTTTCTACGTTCGAATAATATTGTAAAAACTTTGTTATTTAAAAAAAAAAAGATTTATAAAATATTACAGTAAAATAATCGTGATTTATTGTACTTATCAATATTATTTACAAAAGTAACAAAAATATCGCTTATCAGTTATGCCCAGTAACAACATACTTCTTATTAACTTGTTCAACAAATAACAATGGTGAAGTTTTGGGTAGTTATTGAACCTCTACATAAGTGTGGCGATTTGTTTCAATGATTTCATAAGCATGAACATGTGTATCAAATGATACAGTTTCTAATAAGTTTACAGGGGAAAAAAAAATTAATTTATCCGTTTTGTATATGTTATAGCCAGCCAGCCGATAAATCGTGCCATGCATAGCGTAATAATCATTTCGAGTGTTGGCCACGCGGTGATTCTTACGTGCGCATTGTCCATACGAGTACGAGTCATTCATTTCTTGTTTCAAGCCTGTTATACATTTTAATGATATTTAGGCTTTATAGAAGATCATAAGCGCCATGTTGCACACACGTAGCTCAGCATATTGCTCTCTCTTTACTCAGATGCGTCTTAGATCGTTTACAAGTTTCATTCAACTTTGGTGACAGTTCCGTTCAGCATTATTTAAAATCAAACGAACTTACCTGTAAGTGAAGTTCGATTTTAATTATATGAAAATCCTTGTTCCCGATGTTCATGCTCCTAGCTGCTGACAAATAACCTTCATCCTTTAGAGTATAGAGATTGCTGTGCTTGGGTGGGAACTAAAAACTTAAACAACAATGTTTAAACATAAAAGAATAGTGGGTGGGTATCAATCACTCAAACAAGGATTTTCATATAATTAAAATCGAACTTCACTTGCAGGTAAGTTTGTTTGATTTTAAATTATATTTCAATCCTTGTTATCGTGATTGATATGTAGTTGTTCAGAGTTTTACAGCAATCTCATACATTGCAAAAATAATTTTTATAGATACATATTAAATGAACAATTACTTTTTTTTTTTTTTATTTTATTTTATATTCCTTAACACATGGAATAATAAAAGATAAACTGTTACAACGAAGAACTAAACAAATATTTGTTTATAAAATCAATAAATTACAGACAAAGCAAAACAGTTAATATTTTTTGAAATTGGGCGATTGTAAAATTTTGCGAAAGCTTTTGACTTTTCAGTCCAACCGGCTGTACTTTTGATAACATTTATATCAGTACCTTTAATATATGCTTTGCTTGTGCTCGCATGACACGTTGAATGACTTGAAAAAACATGAGTATCGATTCCACTTTCGGATAATATGCACTTAATCCATCTACTTATAGTTTGACCCGAAACAGCATTATGAGGTTTTTTAAAAGAAATAAAAAGTTTCTTAACGTTGGATCTGAAATCTTTTGTGACCTTCACATATTCAAGCAAAGTAGATGCCACGCAAAGCTCAGGTTTATTTAAAACATAAGGTAAGACCAGAAGCGGTTGAGCTTTTCCTGGTGTCGAAGTCTTTATGTGTATCACGAAAATAAATGATCCTCTCCAAGTCAATTGAAACTAACGTTTGAACTCGGTGAGCGGTTGCTAATGCGAGTAACATTGAAAACTTTTTACCGTTAAAAAATCAACGATTTTAACAACAGGTGCTTCAAAATGCGAGATGTTTTGTGATGTACAATAATCCACCCATTTCACAATGGTAGAGCTATATTGCTTAATCGTATTTTGCGAAAGCGATTCCATTACAATCATAACGTCCTCACTCAATCCCTTCCGGACAAGTGCTTGCCAGATAACCTTCCGGCCAATAGCAAAAGTTGACTCGACATTGAGTGTAATTTCGAACTACAAGGGGACATCAATAATTTTTTATTAGGTTCAAAAATTAATGGATCACCGACAAGAAGTTTTAAAAATAACGGAAACCAAGGCTGTGTAGGCCAAAACGGGACTACTACTATGCAAACAGCTCTTTCATTTATAATTTTACGTAAAACTTTAGCAATAATTGCGAATGGAGGAAAAGCGTAAAATTTTAAATTTATCCATGATGATGTAAACGCATCGATTGCTGATGCATCTGGTTCTCTGAAACAAGGAGAAAAAAGTTTACATTTTGAATTCAAACGCGTAGCAAATAAATCAAACTTTGCAGAACCAAATTTACATTCTATCGCTTTGAAAGCGAAATTAGCCAACTCCCACTCAGTGTCAATATTTCTTATCCTTGACTGTTCGTCGGCTTCGACATTTTCGCGACTAGGAATATAGAAAGCGAACAACCAAATTCTTTTCTGCTCGGCCCATTTCCAAATAAAGGATGTTAAACAATTATATTTTTTGTGACGTGATCCACCCATGCGGTTTATGTACGATAAGGATGTTGTATTATCGACACGTAAAACCACAATTGAATTATTTAAATAGTTAGCGAATGCTTTTAAACCCGAGAATATTGCTTTGAGTTCTAAGAAATTAATCAAATGTTTCATGTCTTCTTCACCCCAAGAACCATGAATTTTCTCAACTTTAAAAATGCACCCAAACCTGACAACAAAGCATCTGTGAATATTTCAAGATGAAAATTGTCATCTCGAATCAATCGAAAACTGCGTGATAAATTTAATTTCCACCAAATTAAATCATTCATCGTATCAACTGATATAGACAATTTAGCCTCAAAGTTAAAATTCTGTTCAATGGAGGCTTTGATTTTGTCTATTTCCAAATTACATGTGCACATAATTCCATACTCAACACCAGGAGAAGCCGCAACAAGTAAACCTTGAAGTTGGGCATATTTTATAATTTTATGACATTTTCCAGGATTTAATTGACTAAGTTTGAACTATATTAAGGCTTCATAGAAAATTATAAGCGCCATGTTGCACACACGTGACTGAGCATATTTTTCTCTCTTTACTCGGATGCGTTTGTCAGCGATAAAAAGCCTAACGTATATTCAAGTCCAAAAAGTGTTTGCTTGAGCGTTATTAAACTTCAATGTATTGTACTCTGAAGTAACATTTCACGAGGCATCGTTACGCCTACTTTCCGATACGTACGTCAGTCAGCATGCGCGCACTGATCGAGTCGTTCATTTTCAAATTTCAAATATGTTATACACATTAATGATATTCTGGCTTCAAAAGCGCCAAGTTGAACACTCGTAGCTCAGCATATCGCTCTCTCTTTACTCAGATGCGTCTTGAAGCGTTTAAAAGCCTAACGTTTATCCTTTCCAGAAAATGACTGCATGGGCGTTATTAAACTTCAATGATTTGTACTTATAAGATACATTTCAGAAAGCTTCGTCTTGCTTACCTCTCGATACGCTCTTCGCTCAGCAGGTGTGCACTGTAGTTTCACACTATTTAATAGGGCTATGCGTAGCCGGAATCACTTCGAGTGTCTGCCACGTGTTTATTCTGACGCGCGCATGGTCCGTACGACAACGAGTCGATCATTTTCACTTTAAATTTCCACGCGTTGATTCTGACCCGCGCATGGTCCGTACGACAACGAGTCGTTCATTTTACGTCTCATATATCTTATACATTTTAATGATAATGAGGCATTGCAGATGGGTGTAAGTGACAGGTTGCGTACATGTAGTATCTAAGCTTATTTCACTCCAATCTGCTTTGCAAATTGTAGTCCAAAGCCATATGCTTAATTGACGCCGACTTTTTAGTTCTGTTACCCAAGAGATTGGTGGCGCAAGGGTCGGAAATTTCAAAATAAATCAAAATAGACTTTTACGTATCCCGATTGGTATATGAACTCGGGTCCTGATGATTATCAGGTCGGTGAGCTAACCACACAGCTAATTAAATACTATTGATTCAGTGACCTAAGTTGCTCATTTTTACTGTGTTTAGCGATGATTATTTACAATAACATACTACTCGGGATATGTAATGCTCAACAAAATATATCAATGCCTTATAGCGAAAAAACAATAAATTACTACTTTTGTGCTACGAAAAAAAATATTTCCAGCGATTGCGTTAGACTGATACACATGCGCTCGGGCTCTCCCTTTTCGTGTCGGAGTTGTAAATTGTTTTTCATATTAATTTTTTTTTTTTTTAAAGCAACCATCGGAAAATATTTTTTGTTTTGAAAACTATTCTTTTCCAACACTCGAAAAAATTTAGTAAAATTCAGTATTGTATTGGCTGTGTGGCTAGCTAGCACCGGTCTGACGATCTGCAGGACTTGTGCTCAAATCGCAGTCTGCCAGCGCCTAGACAGTTTTTAATTTATTTTAAAATATCCGACACTTGCGCCACCAACCTCTTGGGTAACAGAACTAAAAAGTCGGCGTCAATTCAGCATAGGGCTTTGGACTTCTATTTGTAAGTATCCACATTTTTCGCTGACGCGCCCCGCCACTTGTGCCCAGGCCACACGGCGGCTCTCGCTTTTGCGACATAACGGGATTACTTTTGTGTTGTGTTTATATACACACACACGTTCACGGACGCAAATCCGCAGATTTTCTCCACGTCATTCATTTATTGGTGTACGTGTTAGTATACACTGCTCTGTCGTCTGCGCTGCTGCTGCTGCTGCCTCATTTATTCCGTGAACTTCGGTAAGTACGCAGGCGACGCGAGGTATTTCACTTACAGCTGTCGGCGATTTTTCCAGCATTTTCGCACGTTATCCGAGATAAATTTGTCAATGAAAATCAGTTCGGTTGTCGCAGGACTCTTAGTAATTGGTTTTTATCGACGATTCGCTTCGGTGTCACGTTATCGTGTGCATTTTTATTTTACTTTAAAATAGTGCAGTTGTGTGTTATTTAGCGAAGAACACGTGTGTGTCTATGAATTATTTATCATGCCGATTGTCGTTTTCGAGTGCTACGTGAGGCGCGAGCTAGTCATTGTTTGATATTCGTAATACCTAGATTCAAAACTTCGCCCCGAAATCGCTGACAAAGTGACACCGAGATTGTAACATATTTTAATTTGGCACTTATTGTACGCAGAATAAATAGAAGCTCAAGTTCAGCCAAAAATGGATCAGATCAAGAAATTCCTCGAGCCAGGCAAGCAGTTCTCCAAGGACAGCATTCGCCTCGTCAAAAGGTGCACCAAGCCTGATCGCAAGGAGTTCCAAAAGATTGCCATTGCCACCGCTGTTGGCTTCTGCATAATGGGATTCATTGGTTTCTTTGTCAAACTCATCCATATTCCCATCAACAACATCATTGTGTAAGTTAAAATTTATTATTTGGATAATCCCATTGAATTTTAACTTTTGTTTATTTTCTTGCAGCGGATCGTAAATGTCACAACAGACTTTGAAGCATATTGGCGGCTTAGTGTTTGACAATTTTTTATATTTATATAAATATATTTAATCCTCGATGAAATGATAGGTTTGTTTAATCATAAAAGCAATGGTTTTAAGAGACTTTGTGAATAAATATAGCAGGCTACCTGTTATATTTTTGATACTTTTTTAAAATTAGTCTTGTAGCTGTTACTGGTTAATGATGATATGATTAAATCCAAAAATTGTGAGTTTGTGTATTATTTGAGATGTGTTAGAATTTTCAATGATTTCTATTGAAGTCTGCAATAAATTAATTAATCTAAAGACTGTCATTATTCTTGTTGATATTTAATGTCAAAATTATTGTGAAATTGTGTTTCATTTGTACTAAAATATTCTCATTTTTATAAAGAGAAAAAAATATATGCGCATGCATGTTAAATTAAAATAAAAATTTTTCTTCAAATATCTTTTTGTATTTTCATGGGGAATAGATAATTGATTTGATAATTCAAAATATTTTAAATCATTAATAGCAAGGAAATATATAGAAATAAAACTGTAAATCAATAGATCGGACACATTGTTCTTTTTTTTATTTCATTAACAATTCGTTTGTTTCTTCATTATGAGAAAAAATTGACTATCAATTCTTCTACTACATTACAAGACAGTTCAATGTGCGTATACAGTATATACAAAAGCTTTCGCAGATTGAATTTTCATCTTTTTCCTGTCGCATTATCATAGACTTTTATATAATTAAACGTAATAATTATGTCTAAGAAATTTCAAAACTTAAATCATAAACCAATGCCTAGTACAATCAAGCGCGCACGTAATTATGTAACTACAAAAATTCATTAATCCCATTAGGTCCGTTTTTATTTATTTTTATTTTTTTTTGAAAATTCCTTCATTTAATATAAGTTTACACGCTATATTTAATTATTTTCATTCTCTCTTATGCAATATAGACATATTTGATATCTCATCTTAACAAAATTAGATACTTCTAAGCACATTATAAATATTATGACTTTTTGCAAAGCTCTAATTTGTGAGATTCACGATCATATTTTTGTTTTTATTTGTCTCAGTTACTTAAAAAATGTTAGGTCGGTACAGAGGTCTATTACAACTGAATGATTCTCACGGTGGTCGGGAATTTTTTTTATTACGTGTTGATTTTCGCAATGCTCGTCATTACAACATCTTCATTTTCCATCTAAGCAAGTACATGCAAATATAATTTTTTTCTGCTTTATCACTATTTCTCAAGAGCGAGTGTTTATTTGCATTCTTGAGCACCCGATATTGTATTTAACAATACGCAATTCATAAATGTACTATATAGTTAATAATCTCAATAGAACATTTGAAATGTTTGTACATTTTTAAAATACCTGCATTTTAAAAGGTATCGAGCTAAATAACAAGAAAACATTGTCATCGCTTGTAATGATTCTTCTCCCATTCACTCGTCCAGGTATTTAAAATTTTCCATCGTCAATTTTGATTCATGTAATTTAAAAATATTCTACATCCTTTCTTTCATACCTAAAGCATATACTGCTAACATTTAAGAGCACATATGTTCATCGACATTTATTTGCATTTAAAAATTCACTTTCTATTTTATAAATTACACGTCACTTTTAATGTTTTTAATTCGAACTTACGACTGCAAATATTTTAGCAAAGATCTACATTATAATTATAATTTTTTTTGTCTCTATGAGTTTTACAGTCTTAAGCAAAAGTAAGCAATTCCACCTATTTGCCAGTCTGTGGATTATTTTAATCTCAGTTGAAAAAATCTCATTTTGAACCTATGACTTTTAAAAAGCGAATCATCATTACTTAAAGTTGTAAAATTTTTGATTTGTAGCATTATTCTTTATAGCAATTTATTTTTGAATAAATAAACATTCAAGATTAATTTCTGAACAACTGATTGGACTTTAACAAAAAAGATATGTGTGAGTCATTTGGTGACCAGAGAAAACTTCGATTAGGTAGATTTATACTTTTTTAAAAAGTATTCAAGGGTATAATTGTTTTCTGCAATAGTAAAAATTGATCGCCTCCGTCCACGTAGTTACTTCCATTATTATCGTATTATAGTATCGACCAGTTATGAACAACGATTTTTTTCAATGTTTTGGTCAATATCATGGATAAATTTACATTTATACTTTAACGCTTTATATAGAATTTTTTTTTTAATTGGTCATTTTCGAAGGGCATATAACAAAAACAATTTTTTTTTATACATGTGCAATCCCAATGATACCGTGCATAAAATATAGCAATGAAAAATTCTATCGACGCCTCCGATCCTAAAGCTTTTGAAAAGCTTACTTTCTACGTTTTTTTTTGTTTGTAAACATTTTATATATAATATTACTTTATAAATCGTATTTTTTATTCACAGAAGATGTACAAACAATGACATTTATTGAAATTTATACATTTACATTCAAATCCATTTTTGTTGCGATTTGCATTAAATATACCTTTCAATCTTATGCAATCGCACTCAAAATGTTTTCTCTACATTAAAATGCGACTAAGTCATGCATTCCATATCAGCTTTTCATACAAATGTACATTATTCGAAGGAAAAAAAAAAGTAAAGAGTCAACAACAAAATCGCATAAAATCGCGACAATATACAGGTAAAGTAACTTGCAGTGTGTTGCGGATCGCAACGAATGGATCGACGAAAGAAAACATAATGTACAATAAAAAATTTCACAAAAGAAAACTCTCGACTCGTCGATATCTCGCGATTACAAGTGGAAATCGCTTACGTTCATTTTAGTATAATGTAAATCTCTTCTGAATAAATGAAGCTAGCACTCTAAGATTTCATTGAATATGCATTTATACTCCTTTATTTGTGCGATACATATATACGTATTATATAAATATATATATAATATTCAAACGACGACAACGTACATCGATATGTAATGCAGCTTTAATGAAATTTATGCGTTACGATACTTGAGTGGTTTTTGACTGAGGCAAAAACAAACGCGAAAAATTCAAACGAATCAAGAAATGGACATAATCGTTTCTTTCACTATTTACACGATAATGCGCCGCTTTTACTCTAGTGCTCTCGCAATCACGCTCGCTCTCGATGCATTCGTTTATTTTCTTTTCATATAAATTGAAAAAACAGGGGAAGAAAATGCTCTCACGCTTACGTACATAGCTTCGAAAATTCGGGAAGATGAGAAGATTCGGTAGAACGCTCTGTCGTTTCAGCTACCCCGAGGTAACCTTATATCGTTCATGAGTTACTACTCTTACGAATTAATGATGAGTCGTCGCGACGCTGATTATTGTGTGTTCTCCTTCTTTTTTATTTTTATTTCGTCGTTACGTCTATGCCGTATCCTTTGTTTTTTTTTTTTTTTTTTACAAATTTATCGCAAAGTGCATGCATTTCATTTTATTTTACTCTTTTTTTTGCTATGTTCATTCAAAATTTACTTTTTGTCATTCGCAGAAAACGATAAAAGGCACAGGGTAGAAACGTTAAAACTATACATTACTCTTTCATTTTAATTGCTTTCAGCGCAAATTCGTACTGTATACATTTTTTTTACTTCTTCCACGAAAGCTTAATATGGGTAGAGAGGATGATGATTGGATTTCGTAAAAATTATACACTTCATTAAACTAATTACTAAGTGCTACGTCTAAATACTTAAATTACTATCACCAAACTAGGCATTACAGAATCAACTGATAGCATTTGCAAATCCTGCACAACATGTGGTTATTATAATTTTTTTTTCGTGTGTATAGAAATTTCGTAATGAAAATTCATTGCAATAGCAACGACAACAGCGATAGGTCGATTTTTTCGAGGCAACTGTTTAAATTAATTTCTTTTTCACTTTAGTTTCCTTTTACTTTTAACCAACTTCTCTCGTCAACAAATCCTCGTAAGTAATTCGTAAAACAATTAACAACAAACAAATTCTTATCATTTAATCACTTCGTGCACTGGAATTCGAGCTTTTCGTTTATTTTTACGTTTTATTTTCTTTTATATATAAATTTATATATATCACGAGCAAAACAAGGAATTCAACAAAGGAAACAAATTTCCGTTTCTTACACTCGCTCGCACGCATTAACACGACATTTGCATTTTCTCCGTATAACAGGCCCTAAGAAGCGCGCATCCTCCCGTCCTTTTACAAAGGACGCGAAGTACAGGATTTAGGGGGAAAAAAGTGACGACAAATCCAACCATCATGACCATCATCCTCGTGTCCATTAATAACGTTTAATCACACACTCTCTCTCTCGCGCTCACAGTCGCACGTTATACATCTTAAAAGTAAAGAAAAAAAAAAGTTGTTTTTTTTTTATAATGATAAACAATAAATTCGAGCCGACGACGACGATAATAACTATCGCTGCTGCTGCTGCTCGTCGCTGCTGGCGGCCGGCGCCCAGTCGCTGGCCGCCCAGGCGGGCAGCGGGGTCTCGTACTCCCAGCCGGGGCCGCAGTAGCGCCACGCGTGCAGGTACATCACGAGGTCCGACGGCTTGGGGTCGCGATACTTGACCTTGCACTCGTAGCAGTGCTGGTCCACGGTCACCTTGTCGTTGGAGAAGATCGAGTCCGGTGGCTCGGAGCCCGTCTGCGTGCCTACGGTGACTTTCAACGATGGCTGTGGCGTCTGCTGAACTGTGCTGGTGCTGGTACTGGTACTGGTGCTGGTGCTGGTGCCGGTGCTGGTAGTGCTCGTGGCGCTCTGATCCTGCGACGACGGCGACGACGTCGACTGAAGATGAGGTAGCAAGAATAATTTTAAAATTGTAAAAAAAGGACTTTAATAACAAGGAGACCGCCTAAAATCGGAGTTATGGATATTCTCAAAAAATTTTTGGGGTTTTCTGGTACCTAATTCATTTCATGGGCCTTAGGATTTCTATTTTATAAAAAAAGCTTTGTGATTTTCTATCTCGAGACAAAGTGCAAAAAACGAAAAAGTTTAAAAATTTGTTAAAGAATATGTCTAAATTTTTCTAGAATTTTTAAAGACGTATATCACCTATTCTTGGGGATTCCAAAAACCTCTGAAAATGGTGATAGTCGATCTCAATAATTCTGTAAAAATTCAGATGTATTCTTCGAAAAATTATTAAATTTTTGTATCGCTTCTATTTCAATGGAAAATGGTATTTAAAATAAGGTTTCGCTTTTAGGTACCAAATCCATAATCCGCAATTCGGGTAGTATCCTCGTAAGTCATCTAGACTCCAATCCACTCACCTGAACCTGCTGCTGCTGCTGCTGCTGCTCCTCGTCGTTCAGACTGGGCGTCGACGAGGGCGAGCCCTCCTTGTCGCTGCTGGGCAGCCTGTCGTCGAGCTCGAGCTTGGTCGTCTTGAACAGGCTCATCTCCGAGTCGCCGTCCATGCCCAGCCAGTTCTCGGCGTTGTGTATGCCGATCAGGTCCTTGACCAGCTCCTCGTCGCTCTTGCCGATCATGCCGCCCTTGCCCTTGACGGGCCCGAACACCGTGTGATTGTAGAGCGGATCGTTGACCACGGGATAGCCGAGGTACTGGAGGTGGACGCGGATCTGGTGCATGCGTCCGGTCTGGGGCTTGCACAGCACCACCGACGTCTGGCCGTTGTAGCTGAGCCGCTTGAACTTGGTCATGCAGTCCTTGCCCTTCTCCGAGACCTTGCACACGCCGATCTTGTAGCTGACGACCTCGATCGGTTCCGTGCACACGATCTCCTCCTCGGGGAACTCGCCCTCGACTCGGCAGACGTATTGCTTTTTCACCTGCGACAAGGGAGAGGATAAAGCATTGTATTGCGTAATTTCGTTGTAGCTGCCATGCGCATCGTATACATCATACGTATACATAACGATATTATACCTGTCGATTTCTAATTTGATGCTCCATCTGTCTGGCCTTCTTGGGCGTCCTGCCAAACAGCAGTATGCCGCTGGTTAGCCGATCCAGCCTGTGTATCGTCCTCAGGTTCTTCAAGCCGTACTCCTTGGCCAGGATAAAGACTACCGTGTTGTGTCGGTAGCGACCGCACGGGTGTACCTGCGATATACAAGGGAAAAACGTGTTTTTCTTTTCTTTTCGTTGGTTTTTTCGAGGGAGCGAGAAAAAGAAAGAGATAGAGCGAGAGAGAGAGAGAGAGAGAGAGAGATTTTCGACGCGTACAACGCGAATCTGGAACTCCAGAGGATATAGTCTAATTTTTTTTCGTAAGGCAAAAATGTCAAATACCAAAGCAGAAAGAAGAGGAGGTGAAAAATACAGAGCGCAAAAAAAGAAGTAAGACACGACTACGCGACTGCTGCTCCATATTATACCGTTGCTGCTGTAGCTACTGCTTCGGGGAAATGAGAAAAGCTCCGGCTACGAAAGTTGAGATACTCGAGACGCACATCTACGACAATCGCACAATAGAGACACGACACGACTTTTCTTTTTTCCTTTTTTTTTTCTTCTTCTTCTCTTTTTTTCCTTTATTTTTGGAATCTGCGTCGGTACGTATGTATTCTCCAATCGTCTGTATCACGCGCGTGTGTGTCCTTGTTCGGAGAGCTACGACGATGATAGCTCTTGAAATCCGATCGATGCGTACGTACACGCGTACACCCACGCGCGACGTTGCAGCGATGAAAAATCATCATCGTCATTATTACGCGTTTTATTATGCACGTGTAGCGCGCGACAGCGAGTCAACGGTAAACATCGTTAACGAACAGACAACGGCTTTGATTTTATATAGCAGGTACTGCCAGCAGCGGAAAAGCGTGAAATCACCGAGGCTCGAATTATTGAATAAACGAGAAAGAAGAGACACGCAAATGACGCGCTGCTAGCTAGCTAGCTAGCTGCTTGCATAAAAAAAAAATACACGCGAGATTCGCGCGCGAGCTATTTCCGCCAGAGCTTTTATGTATATAAAATAAAATACGCGCAGCAGCAGCAGCGGTGGCGCGAGCACAGGAGGCAAATTGTTGGCCTTATATATATTCCGCCGACGCATATACTAGTAGCTGCTAATCCATCCGCACCCTCGGCGCGTAGTATATAGAGTGCATTTATCGACTGGCCGAGAGAGAGAGAGAAGACACGCGCGCGCTTATATTAAAAAATTCTTCAGCTCGGAAAACGATGTATGCTGCTGTTGCTTCCTTCTTCGCAATCCTTTTTTTCTCCTTCTTTCTCTTTCCATCCTGCTTTTCTCTCTGCACTCGAGGAACAATAATCTCGCGTTAATAATGAAGCTTTTACGCTGAGAGGTATTTCGCGATTGAGCGTGTGACGTGTACAGCAGCAGCAGCAGCAGCAGCAACGGCAACAGCAGGATATATCCTTCCTTTTTATTTTTACTTTTTATTTGTTCACGTCGAGTGCACGAAACAAGCGAGAAAAGAACGAAAAAAATATATATCTCGCGTCGCGTACGTACAAAAAAAAAAAGGAGGCTAATAGAATTTCAAATGTTGCTTACGCAAGCTTGGGGCTCGGGGCGGCTCGGACGAAGAATCGAGAACGTTAAAAAAAATTAGTAGTTGCGCGCGGATAAACGAAACGCACGACGATATCTCCGTACTCTCGGACTCGTAGATGGTAGATATATTATATTGTACATTTATTTTTTTGTTAATTAATGACAAAAAAAAATAGAAACAAATTGAAAAAAAAAGAGGTGAATTACTCGACAAGTGTGTGGTTCGAGAGGAAGAACAGAGAGTTAGTACAAAAGTCGACTATTTGTTCTACGGCGGTTGAATAAAAAAAAAATTCGCTTCTATCTGTGCGTTTGTTTATTTTACAAGTAAAAAAAAAGAGTAGAGTAAAAGAAGAGTAAAAAAAGCCAAAAGTAAAAATAAATAAAAAAAATAAATAAACAAGTAAACAGCCATTTTTTTTTTTTATTCTGTTTCGTGTTCATAATTGGCAGTACGTGTCCTGTTCAGTACACCACTTACAGGAATGGATGCGGGCTTGTTGACCACGACGACGTCCTCGTCCATGTGTATCACCGTGATCGGCTCCGAGGTGACTGGCACCTCGTGTCTGCAACAGCAACCCCCAATAAATCAAAGGCACCAGCTTAAAGTGGCGTTTATGATAGAGTTGAGAGAGAGAGTGAGTGAAAGATAGAGAGAGGGCGAGACAGAGGAGGCAACAGATACAGAGAGAGAGAAAAATAACAGAGACAGAGAAAAAAAAGGCAGAGACACGTCTGTGGCAGCAAAAAAAAATAAAGAAACAATGGTAAAATTGTTCCTTCTTTTTTTTGTACTCCTGTCCACACGTGACTCCGCGAACGCATGTAAAAAAAAATACAACGTACAAGGCCAAATGAAATGGATATAATGATCATAATAATATGCATTGTAATGCACGGAGCGACAGAAAAAAGTTCAAGGCATGAATTACTCTCTTTCATAAACAAAAAAAAAACGCTTCTTGTACGTATTTTTTTAAATACGCTTTTTTTTCATCACAGTGTAAAGTAGAATTATTCGAAAAAGCTACAATGATGTTTGATCAATAGAAAAATGTTTTTGTTTTTCATTTTTTTTTGTACCATTACCATTTGAATCAACTAGCGTTCAAATACCTTCTTAAGATTTACGTATAAAATTAAGCAAGGTTCATAATTATTAATTATTATTATTATTAATTAATTGATTATAATTACATGTCGTCACGACACACATAATACATGAGTTGTTGTTTTTTTTTATAATTACAATACAATGATTTTCTTCCTCAAACTACGTTTAAAAAAAGCTTGATATACATTATGCAATACTCTCGAGGTATTACTATTTTTTTCCTTCCTCTAGTTTTCTAGTGTGTATGCATATAACGCGTATTATAGCGGTATAACATTACACAAAGGCATGAGAGACACACTCACTCAATATACACATACGCCACGCGATATGGGTAAATATCTCGTCGACCAAAGCCAAAATTCAAACTATGCGACGCGTATACTATTATAATATACACGCGTCTCTATACGGAGCACCCATTAATTTGAAAAAAAAAGAGAACAAGCACGAGGAAATGACTAAGCTCCGGGGGTCATAAATGATTGATCGCAATTTAGTTGTTGTTGTTGTTTTTTTTTGCCTTTTCTTTTTCTTCATTTTTTTTTTTGTCACAATTTGAAATTCAAACGACCTGCGAAATGAACATCAAAGTTTAATCGAGTCCGGCTAAAGAGCAGGCAAGTGCCACGGTGTACGACGCGCAAAGTGCTTTCGATTTCAATATTTTAACACCGTACAATTAATACAGTGATGGATTAAAATTTCTCGTGATTGCGTTTTGTAGCTTTTCGTCTTTCTTTTTTTGTCCTCGTTGTTGCATGTATCCTGGCCTGCCTCTCCCGGACGTGTACGATACGTATCGCCTTTCTGGACTAACGTAATTATCAATAAATTAATTGTAAAGCAACCTAAATTCACTTTTTTTTTCGTTCGTTTACATCGAGAACGAGTATAATAATATACAATATAATAATGTCTGTCTCATCGTTCCACCTAATTGATTGCTTACCTATATACACACACGTATTGCATCGATGCGTATCGCGCTCTGCTGCTGCGCCCAAGGAAATAAGAAAAAATCGAGTAATTGGGAAAAAGAAATCGAAGAAGAAAGCCAGGGAGAAAGAGAACTAAAGACACCTTGGCAAGAAAATTGAATTTACTGGCCTGCAGCAGCAGCAGCAGCAGTAAGTGCATGTATGTATATGTGTGTATAGGCCAGTTGAAAGCTCGTCTCTGTACGTTGCAGCGCAGGACTTTCACTCTGTGAGTGTATGTGTGTGTGTTCCGCAGGTGCGATAAAGCTTCCTCGCATGCGACTATCGATCCTTCCCTCTTTTGCTTGCCCTACAGAGCCGTTTACCTCCTCTACACACACATACACAGACACGCTCGCACGCACGTATATACATACGTACGAGGTCTAAATGCAGAGAGAGAGAGAGAGAGAGAGAGAGCCGTTAACCCTAGATACCTCGAGCTTTGCTGCTGCCTAGCAAAACGCGGCGGAGTGCCTTTACGAGCCTCGCCTCGTGCCCGAGCGCAGTAGTAGTTGTAGTGGTAGTAGTAGTAGTATATACAGGGATTCCAGGGTGAAACTTACATACGTATACGTATGCACGGAAAATGAGTATAGCGAGCGCGCGGAGTAAGTTAATGAAACAAGAACAGTTTAAAAGTTTATGGCTATGTTGAATTTTGAATGTGCACTAGGGTTTCTACGCTAATATTATTATACCATGCGATACATAGCGACGTGTGTCCGGGCCGCCGCGGCCCGCCCTGTATCGTAAACGCGAAAAGCTGAAGAATTTATATACAGATAATATTGCACTGCAGATGTACGCATAATTTATACATATAACATGTAACGTGTAATATACCTCATGACGAAATTTAGTCGGGATAGGGCGCACACACGGACTGAAAAGCCGATAACAAGCGATATGCAATATATGCGCTTGCCAGCAGCCCTTCACGTGAGCCCTCGTGTCTATAGATAGATAGATGGATACTATATGATACAAAAAAATATCCGATATTTCAATTCGTCCTTTTCGCAGCCCCGACTGTATGATACATAATATATAGAGATTCTCTCTCGCTCTCTCTCTCGCGACTTCATTCGATATTCACCAATGTCAGAGTGTGTGTGTGTGTGTGCGTGTGTGGGAAGTGGAAAAAGAAAAAGAGAGACTACGCGCTTATACTCTCGCTGCTCTCGGGGCTGAAAAAAAAAACAGCCAGCCAGGAACTATAAAGCGATGCCTGCTGCTGCTGCTGCTGCATGTATACGTGTATGCATGCATTATGCGGCGAGAGCAGCAGCAGCAGCGGTACAAAGTGGAGGGAAAATAAGAGCAGAAAAAGCCCGGGTGTGCTGCACTTGATTTTTAAAATTTCAAACGGCCCCCCGAGTAGAGAGAGAGGAGCTTACGGTATAACTACTACGGCATATGCAAGTATAAGAAGTAGAGAGAGAGAGAGAGAGAGAGAGAGAGAGAGGAGCGAGTGCAGCTAATTGAGATTGATATTTCGGGCGTGCGGTGGGTTAGTGCGGGAGTGGGAGGTGGTGCACTTGTGCCGAAATATATAAAAAGAACGATAGAAGAATAAGAAGAAGAAAAAGAAGCAAAATAGAGAGGGGGGAGAGAAATTTCGTTGGCGCACGCGACATGATTGAAGACACGCGGAAGAGATCGGCCCGTACCCTATACTATAGTAGTACAGTTGCACTGCACCCGCGCGCGTCATTAATCAGGCTTCGCTGCTACTACTACTGTTACCGCCGAGGAGGAACGTCTGCGGAATTTTCTGCCGCTGTTTTTTTATTATAAAAAAAAATACAGAGCGCAGAGAAAAGATTCATCCGAAATAATACGGGATGTTACACGTATATATATTTTTCAATTTAAATGAGACAGCTGGTGGTGGTGGTGGCGGCGGCGGTGGTTGCATTTATTTACGTGCGTTCGTTGAAACGCAGGTGTGCCCGCAGTACGCTTTTTCCGTTGATGATCAATTCGCGATGGAAAAAAAGGACCTGTTTCGGATGAAAACTCTGTTTCGAGCTTTTAATCTAGCGAGGAGGGCCCCCAGAGAAAGAAAGACAGAGAGAGAGCTTGTGTCGTCGATAATTCGATGGGCGCGGCTTTGTATAAAGCAACCCGCCCCCGCGCACTACTACTGCATGCACACACATACATAGATGTATACAACGTGTGTGTGTGCAGTGCAAAATAATAAGGTAGGTGCGGCGGCGGTAGCCGCTACTATACGGAAATATAAAAGGTACTTGCGGACGCGGCGCTCGCCCATCCAATTAGTAGGCAGCAGCAGCAGCAGCAAAGTGTCATTTTATAAATTCTCGATTTTCTCACGCGAGATTTCACATTTAATTAGAAGAGGGCAAAGGAGATGTATGTATATATATACAACGAGCGAGCGAACGAACGTGAAAAAAAAAATCAAGGTAGAAAAAAGAGGTGCGCTCGATGGAGAGAGAGAGAGAGAGAGAGGAGAGGCGCGAAATAAAATAAATTTTCGACGACGACATCGTAAAGTGTTAACTCATTTATAAAGGTATACCCCCCTGGTCCACCCGCCCGTAAATGTATCGGCGCGCGATCGATTTTTCTCCTCCCCCGCAAAGCTCGTTACTTTATACTCTCTCTCTCTCTTTGTACCTCCGGGAAACGCACACACACTGCAGTTTCTCTTTCTATACGAGCTTTTCCTCTCTTTCCTGTAGCTGCTGCTGCTGCTGCTCCAGCCTAGGCTCGACTATATAAAGCACAAATAGAGAGTACACATAGTGAATACGCACGAGGACCGTTACATACACACACACACACACACACGCGCACAGACGCTTCTAAACGTATATATATTATAGTGGATGAAATCGTAAAGTTTCGCCGATACTCGCTCGTTTGACGTTTTTCGCACGCGCGCCTGGACAAACAGCACTCGTGTGCGTGCGTGTGTACTTTGTCAGCGATTAGAAGCTTACACCTTTGTGTACGTGCGCGTTCAAAGCTGCTGCCGCGCGGCAGAGCTTTTATTGCATCGCGAAGCGCTATATATACCTACGTACGCGATCGTAATTCGGTTCTCTCGGCGCGTTGCAATCGCTCACGAGAGGCTTTCAGCTTGATTATCAAATATTTTTTTTTTCATTTTAATTATTACTTATCTAAATGTATATCAGTAACGCGATAAATCTCGACGGAATTTCGTGTAACGATGCAGCGAGTCTAGCGAGAAAAGACGACGCGCGGATTGCGTAAAATTCACGTCGTCGTCGTCGTCGTTGCGTCATGCCGTTACTATATACACGCGCCGCAACACCACCACCGACAGCGAGCTATGTGACACAGATGCGAAGCTGCTGCAGCGCTGCATTTTCTCCACCTCGATTTTCCGACGACTGCCTGCCTGTATTATCATCATTATCGTTATTACGATTATTGTTATTACTATTTACACATTGTGTTTTAAGCAAGACGGGGAGAATCGTGCACGCGCTCGGTATATTCGGATTATTTTTCCGCGTTATTTTTTTTTTCTTTCGCTCTCTCTCTTTCTCTTTTCCTTCGCATGGTGCAGTGGCGCGGGGCGCGCATCGGCCACTGAATTATTTATGAACTATATACCGTAGCACACCTACCCCCGGAGCGCGTTCGAGCGCGTGCGTATAAATTATAGATCGAGATGAAAATATTTGTCCGAGCTCGTGTGGCCGCTATCGCACCGCAATGTGTGCGTGTGTGTGTGTGTGCAGAAGTATTATTTTCTTATATTCCGCGCGTGCAAATTGTGTATCGTTATAATACGTGTGTATTGTAAATATCGCGCCTTATCTGGGGCGAATAATTTCCCTTAACGTGTGCTATGTAGAGAAAAAAAACTCGAACAACCCGCTTCCGTTTCATCGACAAAGAGCTTTCTCATAGAAAAAAGTTGCGTAGAAGAAAATCAGTACTACTGCGTGAGGCGAGCTCTGACTTATACAGAGAACTCGCCTGCTTTTACTGCGCGTGCGACTACTTGAGCCGACGCCCTCTAGCGGTGAAGATCTCGAACATAGTATTGAGCTGAAAAAGTGAACAATTTTTTTTATTTTTTTTAGAAATCTGGTCACATAAGAACATAGACTGACGATGACGCGTGAGTGGATAATCATTTCCTACAAAACAAATTTTCTCCAAAAGCTTATACCCAAGTTGCATACTACATACAGTAGGTAGGTGGTATTCCGGTTCCAAATCTCATTTTCGAGCCTACCACATAGCTTCCTCCACGAGGAAGCAAAAATTGTTCGGATGTACATGCGCAACGTCCTGAAATCGGTTTATTTCTTCTCCGTAATATTTTCCTCTCGTTTTTACTTTTATTGCGTGCGCTGTACCTCGAGTGTACCGCAAAGGTCTATTTTATTATTAAAAAAAAAAAAAATTTTTTTATCGCGTGTCCTATTACTTGAGAACAGTACAGACAGAGGTACATAGATATAGAGCCAAGAGAAATATGTTGCACTTAAGGAAGAGGCTCTCCTCTCTCTCTCAATTGGCAACACTAACTATCCACTGCACTGCGCCTGGATGGTGTGCGGTCAGGAGTTGAAGCGCAGTTTGAGGAGCTCGAGCGAGCGCGCGGTAACTCTCGAAATTGTAATGTCTCTCAATCTCTCTCAATCTTGCCGCACTTCTGCGCGCGAAGCGCCTTGAATATATATTATTCTCGAAAAGTTTACTATTATGAGCTGCTGCTGCTGCTTCGAGGAACAGCTGTCGAGACTACTACTTCGCTGGCTCGAAACTTATTATAATGCGCGCGTTGGCGTTTTTTTTGCACTTCCCGCTCGATTAATAAAATTTGACAATGTCGCGCTCGATTATTATGCAATATTATACGTCGTCAAGGTTACGATCGCGTCGAGTATACGGAAAACGTATAAAAGAGACGAATAATAATAATGATGATATTCATTTATCATTCTATCGCGTTTTGTGTGTTGAACGCGAAAAAACATGTATTCCCATGAAAAAAAAACAGGACGGAGCAGGATTGATGCCAAGGATATTTGCATGGCCAGTTGTCCTAGACCCACACACACACACATTTTTTTTTGCATTTCTTTATACTTTTATGTATAACGTGTATATCAATGTATCTCTCATGCCTTTATGTCGTTCTACATTATTCGTAAAAATCAGTATTCGTATTAATATATATAAAAAAAAAAGAAGTTATTGGTCGACTATACACGATAATATATTAAAATAAAAAATTCAACGTCGCTCACCTGTGAACGACATTCGCGAGAAGGTCGTTGTGTCGCAGCCTGTAGTCGACGTCGACCTTTTGATAATTGACCGTGAGCGTGCCGGCGCGTATGCAGCGCTCGTACTCCTCCGCCGGGTGGGCGCGAAACTCGCGCGCGAACACCTCCAGTATCTTCTCGCCGACCCAGCGGCCCTTGGTGAACGTCGTGAAGGTGAAGTAGTACGGATAGACCTTACGCAGACCTGCCGGGAGGAAAGAAGAAACACAATACGAGATATAATTCAGTTGACGTTGTGAATAATTTTACATTTTATTAAATGATATACGTGACTCTGAATTGGCTGCGCGTATTTACATTGTCTAAAGGACGAAGAGGAAAATTTAAAAATTCATACATCGAGTTCTCGGGTAGTACGAGAGAGTGAGGCAAAAATTAATTTTCTTTCATAGCGTATATATTCGCTCGCATGCCCCGAGAGCTAATACGGGAAAGTAGCTTTTAAATCCTTCTTTTCTCTTTCTCTCTCTCTCTCTCTCCCTCAACCCTTCGGGAAATAAAGGCGTGTAAATCTCTCTCTCTCTACTCGTTCGGTCTTTGCCACCGCCGCGTTACTAATCGTCCGAGTGGAATTTCCGCGTACATTCGGTTTGATCGTAAATTTAATTAACCTCGGCGAATCGGCGGCGGCGGGGAGGCCTGTAAAGATTATTTTTTTTTTGCTCTATTCTCTGCAATTGGAAAAAGTGATTTTTTAATCAAACACATGCGCAGCAGCAGCGGTATTTACGTATTGTAAAAAAGCGCATACAATACCGCGCGCGCCACCGATGTTTTTTGTGCGTAGAAATTAAAAATTAATCCCACCGTGTGTATACGTACGACGCGCGGTATTATTTATACGCGTAGTTAGTATTTCACTCATGTGTGTGTGCGTTCGCCCTTCCTCGCTGCCGCGGTACAGTTGTCTGACAAGTAAACAAAATCGAATGTGGCGAGTCGACGTTTCCCACTTTTTTTTGCCATTTTTTTTTTACTCTCCTCTGTATTTTCCCTCGACGCTTTGCCGATTGAAATTCAATTCGGTGTATAAAGTTGCGAGAGCCGGGCTGGTGTCGTCATGGGCTCGCGCGATGTTGCGAAACTCATTGATGCGATTATTTCGCATACGTGGCAGACATAATGCGGGATTAAGTTTGAAAAGAGCACCCAACCCCGGATTTCACGCGCGCGGAGCCGAGCAGATTTTTTTTCTTCCCTCTTTTTTATCCTTTTTTTTTTCATTCAACGAATTTATTCTCTTTCGCTCGCGAGTCAAAATGCTGAAGTTTCTCATATTATCCTAGGTGATGCACGTAACGTTGTACGCGCGTACGTTACACAGTGTATTCAAAAGGCTAAAATTAAGTTTTCGCTCGCGCCTAGTAGTAGTGCTGCTGCTGCTGCTACGCGAGTTGAAAAATTACAGGCGTCAAAAATAAGACCATACGCGCGCGCGCTCATGACAGTTGCGCCATATCTATTCCTTGCAGAGCCGCTGCAGAGCAGCACCGTAAGTCAGCTAGCAGAGCCCATTCATGTAATGTATAAATTTCAACTAATGAGGGATAACGCTTTCAACGCTTGGCTCCATATAATTCGAATTAAATTTTACAATCCAGTTACTCGTTGGTGCGGTGGCTCATGTTTGGACACGATTTTCGAACGGGTCTCTCGCGACGTTTATGCTCTTTATTATTACGCGCTTGTGCATGCGGCACTAGTTTGCAAAAAAAAAATACTTTTAATTTTGACCGAGAAAACGAGCTGCCAAGAGACTTTTGACTCTTTCTCCTTCCCTCTCTTTTTCTCATTTTGTCACGGAGGCAACTTTTGTCGCGCGCTCCAATGGGCGAGAGGGAAAAGTTTGCGCCTTTTATACGTCCTCTTTTCTCGGTTTGTATATTACACGTGTGCGGGGCGAGAGTGCAAACTTCTACGGAGACGGCGGCTAATTAGCTTCATTTTTACGCAAGAAGTAGGTATATACGCGCGCGTGTGTGTGTGGGAGCGAGTCTGTGTAACCGAGACGTTATGGCTCGCGCGATTCACTCCAATACCTCGTGGGAAATGAACGCTAAAGAAGAAGAAGAAGAAGAAAGAAAAAAGATCTCGAGACTTTATACGGTGCAAACTCGTTGCTCTTACACGATCGCTTGATTAGACGACTATATGTTTTAATCATACGTGTAAGTATAACGATAAAATAAAGTTCGCTCGAATCTTGCGGCTCTCGCGTTAAATGATTTCACCGTACCCGTAAACTTTTATTTTCAATTCGTTCTGTTTAGTTTTGTAATTCGTTCATGCAAAAACTACATGAAAATACACAGTAAACAGTCAATAGACCAAAATAAAGATACGTCACGCAGCATCACTCAAGGGCTATTTGAAACGCTTCGAAACTGCTGACGCGATTCAACTAGCCATTTTTTAATGCTTTCTCAGCGCAGTTCGTACCTAATAGAATTATTATTTTTTGATATTAAAATTCTTTGAAACAGTATATCATTATATACAGAAAAATAAATATTGAGCAGATCGATACTATAATTTCTTTGATGGTGACTTAGCGTTGCTTTGTTTACATTTTTCATGATTCGTAAATACGATTAAATCTAAGTTGCCTGGTTTTACGTGTAACAATAATACAGAAAGATCATTCCGTAACGTAATTCTACGGGAACAAGATGGAATCTGGTGATTTGTTCAATCGTACCCTCAGGTAATTTTTATTTTGTGAGGATGAAGTCATAAAAATATTAAAACGTAATTCATTATTCTGATTAATATTATTTCAGAGTGAAAATCGAGCCTTGTGATGTTTCGTTTACCGAAAATGATTATAAAACCATCGACGAGATACCCGTAACTGAAAATGTCAAGTATGAAAGGTTTCTTCAAGAAAACTCGGTAAGATTTAAAAATTATTTGCGACCATCGTGGTTAAGTTTGAATGAACCTTCCCTCATAATTTTAATTCTTTTCAGAACCACGAGCTTCAAAAACATGACGAAAATCAACAAAATGACGACTTGCAAATCGAGTTGGAATGTACAGACATGAAGCCCAATTTATTGACAGTGGCGAAAATTGAAGATTACTCTCCAAATCACTGGCAAGATATAGCGAAATATAGCGATGATTATAAAGCTGAACGACCAATTAAATTAGAAACTGTGGGGACGGTGAAGAAAGAATTTCGTGGCGAAGAATATACTGAGTCGAATTTCGGACGTGGACTCAGCGAGCAAAATGAAAGAGGAAATGTTTCAAAAAAGTCGAACTATAAGAGGAGACTCAAAGCACACGTGGGTATAGTGCAAAGTGGTATTAACCATGCATGCGATATATGCCAAAAGACGTTCACATTGAAAGGTAATCTTAAAAAGCACATCGCTTCGGTGCATTATGGTGTCACATATGCGTGTGATATTTGCGGAAAGAAGTTGAAAGAGAACAAAAGTCTCAGAAATCACATCGATTCAATGCATAATGGTGTCCGTCATGCATGCGATATTTGCGGAAAGACATTCGCACAAAAAAGAAATCTCAAAACTCACATCGATTCGGTGCATTATAAAATTACGCATCCATGTAATGAATGCCAAAAGACATTCTCAGACAAGAGTAATCTCAGAAATCACATCGATTCGGTGCATAATGGTGTCAGGCATGAATGCGATGTTTGCGGAAAGAAATTCGTACAAAAAGGTCATCTCAAAACCCACATCGAATCGGTGCATAATAAAATCACGCATTCATGTGATATATGCCAAAAGACATTCGCAACGCGAGGTAATTATAAAACTCACATCAAATCGGTGCATCATAAAATTACGCATCCATGTAATAAATGCCAAAAGACATTCTCAGACAAGAGTAATCTCAGAAATCACATCGTTTCGGTGCATAATGGTGTCAGGCATGAATGCGATGTTTGCGGAAAGAAATTCGTACAAAAAGGTCATCTCAAAACCCACATGGAATCGGTGCATAATAAAATCACGCATCGATGTGATATATGCCAAAAGACATTCTCAGACAAGAGTAATCTCAGAAAACACATCGATTCGGTGCATAATGGTGTCAGGCATGAATGCGATGTTTGCGGAAAGAAATTCGTACAAAAAGGTCATCTCAAAACCCACATCGAATCGGTGCATAATAAAATCACGCATCCATGTGATTTATGCCAAAAGATATTCACACAAAAAAGTACTCTCCAACGCCACATCAACTTGATGCACAACGGTATCGGATATGTATGCGATACGCGCGGAAAGATGTTTTCATCAAAGAGTCGTCTCAAAACTCACATTGAGACAATTCATCAAGGTATCATCTACTCGTGTGATTTCTGTGAAAAAACATACGAAAATCGCTCTAATCTTCTAAAACACGTGCAATCGTCGCATTGTAATACCACCTATACTTGCGACACATGCGGAAAGACATTCCAGTATAAGCAAAATCTCAAAGCCCATGTGAAAATAGCGCATCGCCCACGCATCGTGACTTAATTAATGTATAATATTTATATTGAATTGTGACTGAAACAACCATGTTGTGTCTATTCTATTGGTTCAAAATACCCATTTATAAATTTTCACATGTTATCATTTTATATTCGATTAATTACTTCTACGTTATGCAATCTCATAATGTAAAAACAATATGATATATTCATGTAAATTGAAAATAATAATCAATTTTTCATAGAGAAAGAACCATACCGCTTATATTATTTATTCATTTTATCACGCTATATTTTTTACTTCTAAATGTTTTACGCATCGAGACGAAAAAAAATCCACATCGCATAGATTCGATCTAAGCTCAAAGGGAGGTGGTCCGCTTTTAAATTTACAGTACGTCTTAGGATAATAATAACGCTTACAAGCGAGAGAGCTTGCAACGACGACGTCGTGCCGCAGCAGCAGCAGCAGCAGCAACGACAAACTGAGAAATGCCATTACTTTGCTTTTGTGCTTAATACACTCGAGTGTACCGTTGCGTTTGATAGGCTACATACAAGTCCAGTCTTCAATAGGACGTCGAAGTCTCCGTGTATACATATATAGTACCTGTATATACACGTGCGCTGCTGCTGCTGCTGCAAGCTCGAGCCTGCCCCCCGCAGGGTCGACGGTGGGGAAGGGACAATGGACTCCGTACTCTGCTGGTGCTCTCTCCGTGTATTTCTCTCTCTCTCTCTCTCCTAACCCTGCCCTCTCAGCGGTAGGCTATCAAGTACAAAAGGCTGGGGAATCGGCGTTCTGCACGATGGCCAACGACACAACAATAACAATAACAACAACAACAGCAGCAGCAGCGGCACGGGCAACGATCTCAAGAGACTAGGGACGAGGCCAGTAGGCACACGACCCACGCGTACGTATATACGAAGAGGGCGTGCTATGCGCATACATTATGGTCGCTGTGGCATTTATTTTAGCTACAATCATTGCCTCGAAATCGAAAGCTCTCTCGACGTAATTATAAATAGAGGCGCAGTTAAATCAAGATCGCGCGCTATCAATTACGCGGTATTTTACACAATTCCTATACATACATCTCTCGAACAGTTTCTATTATAACGACGATATTTTATTTTATTTTTTTTTTCCTTTTTTTGCAGTCGCGAGCTTTGCGAGACACTACTGCTGCTGTTGCTGCCGCTGCTGTTGTTGGGCCCTTTGCCAAAAAGGAGAGATAGAGAGCGAGAGAGAAAGAGATTTTAAACTGCGCACATACGTATCTCTATCTATCTTTATCTCTTGTGTATATATACCCCCTCGCCGAATACAAAGTCCGTATTATAACGAGGTTTTCCATCGAAAAGCTCTTTAATTAGCGCGCAAGCTTCGCAGCAGCAGCAGCAGTACACTCGAATTCGTGCTCCGAGACAATAGATTTTGCCCGAGAGCTTGCAGTCGCTCTATCCGTATGCCACGCGTGGCGGCGGCGACCCGACGCGTCGTTCTATGTATATCGCGTGCTGTGCAAGGTATTTTCGCGTGCAAGCACGTGTTTTTCGAATAATAAAAGCTCTTCGTTACGGAGCTTCGTGCGCGTCCCTTAGGTATGGTGAAAGAAAAAAAAAGGAGCAAAATGGAAAATAAGAAGAAAAGGACACGATCTCGCTTGGTAAAAATCCGTGCGCGCGCGCTTCGCCACAGGAAGTTTCATTCGATTCTCTGCTCTATATAGAAATTCTCATCAAAGAATATAATTAAGAATCCCATCAACGATCGTCGTCGTCGTAGCGCGAGCTTTTCGAGCTTGAGCAGCAGCAGCAGCAGCTTCGCCTATGCAATTTCCTCTATCCTTCTGATACGGAAACGGATATATATAACATTATATAAAAAAAGTTCTGCGTCGAATCGCGGTTATAACGCTCGTGTAAAATTTATATCGTATTATCCGGGCGCAGAAAAAAAGTCACGGTATGTCTCTTCTGCTCGATGTCTAGATATATAACATACCCTACAGCTGCTGCTGCTGCTGCTGCTGCTGCTGCATGACAGAGACAGCCCGAGCTCGAGAGTCAGAGTAAGAAGAGCACTGACAGTCTGGTCCATTATCGATGACCCGTGTGATTCGGTGTGGCGCGGCGTCGGCCGCTGCCGACTATTAAAATCCATTTCTAGAGCGGAATGCAGTTAAGCATCGGTTCCCCGGCCTATCCGAGCGCGTGCTTTTTGATCCATATCTCTTTTTCTTCGTACTTTATGCTGCGCGGCCTTTTTTTCGCTCTCTTCATTTTTACGTTTGAATTTTGTTTTTGCTTACATTTTATTCGTTTTTATTTTCTCCTTTCTTGTTTATTCTTCAAACCGCACGAATTGCAGCTTGCAAAATACATACGATTTTTTAATCTTCTTTTTATTTCGTGAAAAATTTCGACTCGGCTTTATCTACCCTCTTTTTTTTGCAGCTAATAAACACGTAGACGAATCGAAATTGACATAAAGCGACGGGTGTACACGCTATACGTGTACACGATGTACACACGTGCAGTATCGATTTCGGTGGTATACCTGCCTGTATCGCGAGCGTAAGAGCTGGTAATGAATGAAGCTACACAACACGCGATATTTACCTTCTTTAATAAACTCGGTGTATCGTGTTTTTTCATTTTTTCTAAGTTTCAAATAACCATGGCATATTGACTCTGTACGATGGGCATATAAATAATGAAGTCCTCGTCGTCGCCGAACGTTTCTGACTTTTTTAAATATTTTCATTGATACACATGCTCGTAAAAGAGCAGTTCGGAATCGAAATAACTTCATATTATTTTCCCAATAATAAGACTAAAAAAAATAATACAAAGAAAGTGCAGGCCCATGTGCGCGCATACGTATAATAATTGAATCGATACCAAAGTGCCCGGCGGATGGAAAAAAAATCCATTATTCATGCAAAACGAAAGAAAAATAATGAAAATAATAAAACAACGTATACGTAGAATGGATCGAGATAAGAGTAACGGTGCAAAAAAATACTTACCATTTTCGATGTAGTAACTGGTCTCGTTGTACCTCTCGTCGGTGAAGCCGGGCCTTTTTGCTTTCAGCGCCTTCGTTTCCAATTTCGCCTGCGAGCCAGAAAAAGAAAAACGCACACATATATAGAAATCGGCAAAAAAAGGGAAGGAAAAAGTAGTAGTAAAAGTAGAAGAACAACAACAACAACGACGAGGCGCACACATATTCACGGGTTGCTTATATCCGTGTGCGTAGCGCGTATAGTGCGCGCGGCGAGTCATATATATACCGTTGTGCGTGGGTGGATGTGTGTATACGGCCGATTCTCTGTGAAATCGAATGGCCAAAAAAATTTTTTTTCTGCAAATATGAAAAACTTGCTGTTCCCGATGTCAGAAATGTCCCCAAATTTTATTAGAATTTTTGGGACCATCTATCACTCTTTTTCAGGGGCCCGAAGTTGGCCATTTTAGGGTTTTTTTGAAATTCATGAAAAATCACAAATATTAAAATAATTCCTGGAATAAAGTAGAATGATTCAAAAGTAAAAGTGCCCAGCGACTTTTTTGTTGGAAATTGTCCAAATTTTCAGAAAAAAAATATGCCAAAGTGATTGGAACAATCTAGGTAAATGTAAAGCAAAAAAACTGCAAAAAAAAGCATAAAACAAGAAATCTACTCGAGTTCGAACCGGACTTTCATTTCCTAAACTATGTAAAAAGCTTCCCAAAGATGTCAACTACTGCCTGATAAAGTTTTGTAATGGGTCTTAAAGTTTAACTCAATGTAGACAATAATGTATGGCGAAAAACATGCAAAAAAAGGCCTGAAAATGGCTGTTTTTGGTGATTTTAGGCATTTTGGGCCTATTTTTGACCTTTTTTGCACGTTTTTCACCACACATTGTTGTCTACATTGAGTTAAACTTTAAGACCCATTACAAAACTTTATCAGGCAGTAGTTGACATCTTTGGGAAGCTTTTTACATAGTTTAGGAAATGAAAGTCCGGTTCGAACTCGAGTAGATTTCTTGTTTTATGTTTTTTTTGCAGTTTTTTTGCTTTACATTTACCTAGATTGTTCCAATCACTTTGGCATATTTTTTTTCTGAAAATTTGGACAATTTCCAACAAAAAAGTTGCTGGGCACTTTTACTTTTGAATCATTCTACTTTAATCCAGGAATTATTTTAATATTTGTGATTTTTCATGAATTTCAAAAAAACCCTAAAATGGCCAACTTCGGGCCCCTGAAAAAGAGTGATAGATGGTCCCAAAAATTCTAATAAAATTTGGGGACATTTCTGACATCGGGAACAGCAAGTTTTTCATATTTGCAGAAAAAAAATTTTTTTGGCCATTCGATTTCACAGAGAATCGGCCATATATATACACGGCCGTGTGTTACACTTCCAGAGACGGACGTTTAGTTCGCAAACTATCGGTCATGTACTACTCTCTTTCTCCTCTCTTGCCCCGATATAGCGCATGTACATAGAAGCTTCTCTCTCTCTCTCTCTCTCTCTCTCTCTCTCTGGCCGTGCTCTTTCACTTTTTCCAAAGTTTGAAAAACTCTGGACGTTTTTCGCGTTGTTACATTTTTTTTCTCTCTCTCTCTATCTATCTCTCCCTATCTCTATCTCTTCTCGCGTTTTGTTTCTCGTGGTAGTGCTGCTGCCGCCGCGCAGCATTGCATTCGCGCGCGATATCGACCCTTTTCGTAATATAATTTTTAACGAAGCGAAAGATTTCCTCGCGTCGAGAGCTTCAAGTATGATAATCGAATTAAAATCATCGAAAATCCGCAGGTCCGAGCGCTTTCCGCTCGTCCGAGCGTATATATTATAATTCCGTCAAAAGGTGGCGAACACACACACGCGCACACATACACGAGATGTATAAATGTAATGGACGCTTCCTGGCAACCAAAGTCAATGCTCGGGTAAAAGCAGCAGCAGCAGCAGTGGCAGCGGCACGGAGAGAACGTATTTGCACTCGAGAATTTCCTATGTAGAGATGCACACGCGCGCCCCGTATATGTATCCCTATACGCTGCAGCAGCGGCAGCAGCAGCACATAACGTTTCATCGAAATTTTGCTCGGCGGTGTGCACACGCATGCTCGGAATAATTCAGAACTTCGAGAGCATGGCTCGTCTATGTGTGTGCGTATATATACGTAGGTGCAGTAGGGCACCGCATCTCGACTATCCTAACACGTATTTAATTTTTTTATATCTTTGGTTACGCCACGCAAGCTCACGTCGAGCTTAAAGAGCGTGAGAGAGACAGAGATTTTTCCTTTTTCTCGTATATATACGCGCATATATGCATCGCACCACCAACAACAACAACAACAACAACAACAACAACGACAAAAAAGACTGCGCTCGTAGAGAGTGAGAGAGCTGAGAGCTGCACGAGAAGAGAGGGATAAGGTGTTGAAAAGGGTGTGTGCGCTTATACATATAGAGCCGACGTCAAAGGGATTGAATGCACCTAAGGGTCCTTCTTGGAAAATGTCTTTGACGCGTGGGCTGCCACGTTCATTGTGTGTGCTATGCACATAGACGCGTCGTCGTACGGTACAAGCATTATATACACGTGCGAGTTTTTGATTCTCACGACGCGCGACGCACAACGTGAGACGGCTGCTGCTGCCGCTGCTGTTAAAAACAACGCGAAACGAACGCAGAAAAGAACAGGAAAAAAAATACGAAGAACAAAAACAATTCATAAACGCGTATCTCGCTCGTGGTGGAGCGTATTTAATTAAATCAAGAACCGCAGATCTTCTCCTCTTTTGGTGTGTGCGTGCACGAGTGGAGCACAAGATTCCGACAATTTATCCTGCTTCGTATATAATAATAATGATTTCTCTCTGCTGCCGCTGCCACTGCCTCAAAACGTTCCATCGCATTCTTCTCTTCTCTTGCCGCGGCAAAATCAAAGTTATAAAGCCGCGCGAGTATTAATATAATACCGCTACTACCGCAGACTGCACTGCACTGCAGCCGCGCGTATATTATATTCGAAACACAGCTCGAGCTTGCGAGCGAGACTCGCGGGCGCTGCGGCTGCGAAGTGAATTAAAGCGTGCGCTAATCAGCGCGCTCTCTTTCTTTCTTTCTTCCTTCTTTCTTTCTTCTTTTTTTTTTGCCTCGCAACTTCGCAAATTGTTCGCGTCGCGTGTATTATATGATAAAATGAAATACCGCATGTCTACACGCGTGTGTGTGCATTGCGACAGCGACAGCGGCAGTTCGTTCGCCAGGGAGCTTTCAACCAGAAGTATACGGCGTATATAAGACAGCGACGAGCTTTTCGCTCTACATTCCGATTGTGCGTGACTCTCGCCGGGGCTCCTTTTGCGCGCGGTATAAAGACGCTGCACTCGGCAAGAGAGAGAGCGCGCGCGAAGAGATTTATAAAGAGAGATTTTGCGGCGTATATTATACAACGCAGTGGTGGCGGCATATATTACAAACACGTGCGTGTGTATGTGCTTTATGCATAATGAGAATAACGATAAGATCGAGGCCTCGCGCTGCGGTGCGCGCAGCTCGTTACGTATACCGTACGCGCGGTGTAAAAAAATTCGTTTCTCGAGCTTGCGACGTGTAATAAGGCTAAAGGTAAGAAAAAGCGTGTAGAGCTTTTCATGCTCGTCGCGACGCTATTATACTAGTTATTTAAACGAAACGAATATTATTCACGTATTATTACGGTGCGGCGACAGTTCTCGATAATATAATATACGCGCGTGTGTGTGTGCCGTGCGCCTCGAACACGCGATTTATTCGCGACGCTGTGCACGACTGCATACACACATAGATCTCCTATAAACGAACGCATATATAATATATACTACGGTAAACAACAATAAGCTCAGGATGTTTACGCAGGGTAAATACTGCTGTGTAGCAGCAGCAGCACGCGAAGTCGATCTGTGCCGCGTCGCGTCATAGAGCTTAACGAGCTTCACGGCAGATGTAACGCAGCAGCGACGAAGTATAAGAGATCCTAATTTATAGAAGATTGTCTCCAAAATATATATTCGTGTACATCGAGAATTATCACTTGTCGCGCGGGCGAACATCCAAAAGTAAAAAAAAGAATTGGAGGGCTGTTGCGCGCGACAGCAGCAGCGGCCTGTTGCAGTTGGCACTTGACCCCGCGCGTGCATATATAATATACAGCGTATAAACTGTATTTATGAATTATCAAGCTCGTATATAAGAACAAAAAAAGGGGAAGAAGAAGTATAAGAAGGTAAAGAACTGCTTATTTCGCGCGCGCGCCACGCTCGTAGTGCTAATAACTCACTTCGCGCGCGCGCGCGACTCTATATATACGAGTACGAGCTTTTTTTTTATAACGTCTCGAGAATCTCGCGCGCGTTAAGACGTGCCGCTTGCATAAATATAAATGCGAAAATGGGGTTGTAGATCATACCGGCGTGAATCTTATTTTTTTCGTTCATCTTACTTACGACTCGCGATATACTAGAGTACAGCTTATTCTTTCGAATTCTCATCGAGTTCATTTTTCCCGACGCTAGATCGTAACGATAATACAACGGTATTATATGCGTCATTATACGCGTATTTTCCATTTTCGATTTGTGCGCTGCTGCTGCTGCGGCATAATAATATATATTGTGTGCATCTGCAGTAACATCTGCATCGGTAGCATAACATCAGCATGGAGTAGCAGCGCAGTTAACAAGAGAGAGAGAGAGAGAGAGAGAGAGAGAGAGAGAGAGAGAGAAGACGAAGAAACTCACGAGACGTGCACACTATGCGCTTATACATAGCATCATCAGCAGACATCGAGTCTAACAATAGCAATAGCGAACGAACGAGCGAACGTCGTCGCTCGCTCGCTCGCTCGACGTCGAAGGCCAAAAAACGAGATCGCGGTGTGCAGCAGCAGCACATGCAGCAATGGCAGTTCTGTCTCTGTCTCTCTCTCTCTTTCATCGATGTTACGCGACAACGCGACGTGTATATATACAGCAGCTCTCTCAAACTATTCGTCGAAATGAAATTATATTCGAGAGCAAATAATATAACAATGATAAAAAAAAGGACGAAGAAAAATTTCGACGCGGCTGTATTATACGTGCTTGCAGCTGCTACGAGGGTGTCCTCTTATTATACGAGAGCGTATGAAAGAAACTTTAAAAGTTTTAATAAAGAAAATAGTACGCGATAGAGAGCAGGCTATATACGGTATATAATATGATATCGAGCTTATAATTATAGCGAGAAAGAATTTCTATAATGAGCGAAATATTTCGCGCATTGAATTTCATCCTCTGGAGATTCCACTCTATACGTATAATCGAGAGAGAAAGAGAGCTTGCAGCTTCGCGGCTCGTACAATAACGCGAGGAATATATGTGTTGGTCAGTATGTGTGTCAAAAAGCTCGACGCTATTATGCACAATAAAATATATCTCACCTTTTTCAAATCCTTATTGGCCTCGATGTCCTCGCCCTTTCTTTTCTCGGGCAGCTTCGCGGCCTGGGCCGCCGTCACCGCTATCGTCGGCTTGAGCTCCACCTGTAACTGCAGAAAACGATAAAACTTTTAATCATCGCTGCGATATAATTATAATAATAATAATAATAACAACAATAATAATACGAGGCATTAAATTCCGTACGTTAAACACAATACATATTTATCGGATTCAAACAAATTCCTAATAATAACACTTTAAATCCTTTCGAAAGCTCTCCTCTTTCGGATCCCTGCTCCAGCAACTCCTCACAATCGCTAATGGTGGGCTTTATATGCTCGCATAGCGGTATATAACATACTATGCATCGCGAAAGCTCAGCGCGAGTCGAGCTTGCGCGCAAAAGTTTTCCCTTAAAGATATACAGGAGATATTTAGATATTTCTGGCCATTCTTGTATAAACCACTCATTTGCACTTGTAAAATCAGCTTCGGCTTGTTCACCATGTGGCTTGCGATACACAATATTTTCTCGGCCTCTCCAACGTGAGAGCCAACCGTCAGTGGCCTTGAAATTTTCTTTGCCTAATTTCTTTGACAAATCTTCAGCTTTTGCTTTAAGTAAATTTGGCAACAAATCATATTTTTTTAGTAGCTCCTTTTTTTCAAGGACACTTAAGCCTTTTCTATGAACTATAGCTGATGATTTTTTCATACTTGTATCACTAACACAATTAATTATTATGAGCATGTAATACCGACGGTGCTATGAGAAAGTACTGACAATGAAACTTGTATTTAATCGACAACAACATTGAATGTAAACATCGTCTTCAAACTAAATTTGATTCTATTAAGCGAAAAGTTTATTCACTTAAGCGGTGAATTTTACATGTATAAGGATACGGGAAAATCATTGTTAGGATTTTTGATTCATTTAACCGGCGTATTCTATTAAGCGCAATTCTCTTAAGCGGCGACCACTGTAATGCTTTCGTCGTATATCTATATACCGTGTATAAAATAGACGAATTAAAAGCCATTGCGCGCCGAAGAGAGTATACGTCAATTAGAACGAGAGAGAGAGAGAGAGAAAAAAGCCTTTAGCAGCAGCAGCAGCAGCAGCAGCTTTGCTGTAGTAGTAGTATAGCAGCTCGTTGAAATTAAAAACTATTATTGCGTTTCTTCCTCTCTCTCTCTCTGTATGTATATGTGTGTTTTCATCGGCATGTGCTCGTGCCGCCGCCGCTTATACACCAGCGTAGAAGTCAATATGCCGTTCGCGCGTGCAACAGCAGCAGCAGCCTATATAATTAAGAAACTTCGTATATCGCAACTCTAAACTTTCCGATCTGCTGCTGCTGCTGTGTTACAGTATAGTTGCAGCGTATACGTACATATATATATTGTACGAAGGCGCAACTTTTAAAAATAGGCATGGACTAATATACATATATGCAGAAGCAGCGGCAGCAGCAGCATATGTACTATGGTCGTGTGTGTGCATAGTAGCTCGCTCGCCGACAGACGTACCCACGCGTCAGTTGGCCAATGGCTCACTCGACTCGCCTCTCTCTCTTTACTATATACACTAGCTGCTGCTGCTGCACACACATATCGATAAAGACGGCGATATAGTCTGGGCGCGCGCGCGAGGGAAACAGCAATCGATACATCGTCCGCATTGGTTTCGAGCGCGATCGAGTAGCTAGAGCTAGCTCGAGGCCGCGCGCTGACGACGACGACGACGACGACGACGACGACGACGAGGAGAGCTTACAACAAACGTTTCGCTTACGCTCCGATATACAATATACTTAGCGCGACTCGCTTCGATGTTCGGAAGGATCCGATAGGGTTGAGTTGTTTATCACGTATAATATCCTCGAGAATCTCTCTGTATCACGTCTCTCTCTCTCTCTCTCTCAATTCTCGAAAGAGAAGCTCGAAAGCTCGGGTTCGCAATTCCGCTGCGGCTCCATAGATACGCACCAGTCGCGCGGCTGACAGATGTTATTGAAGGAATATATAGGGAGATACCCGCAAGCTCTGCACTTGTTCGCTCGACGTAGTACCTATATATATAACGACACGATGAAGTAAGTCGCCCCTGACAACTTGTAACTACTATACGACTACTCGACTGTGGTGTATTATATATAGACAGAGCAGCAGCAGCAGCAGCACAACTGTTAAAGCACGTGACCTTGCCTGCAATGCAGTGTCTTAAAACTTCGACTCGATATAACTGCCGCCGCTGCTTCTATATATACATGTATATTGAAATAAATCCCCGAGAGAGCATATAAGACGATCTCGGACGTCTATATAACGATGCTGACTTCTGAAGGAGATGGTTTCCATCGTACTAATAATACATCTATATGTAGGCTTGAATATATTGACGAACGAGTCGAGGCATACGGATTATGCACGGCATTATATACAGCGGGAGCAAATAACGCAAACGCGCGCATATGCAGCAGCAAACAGTAGTACGAGTCCTCCTCTCTCTCTCTCTCCTTATCCAATCCATGCGAAACCTTCTGTAATAAACGGACGTCATTACGCGCCTGTATATCCTCGCTAATTGCGATAACAGACTCTAATTAACGGCGTTGCCGCTGCTGCTTCTGAACACAAATACACACGTAGGTAGAGCAATGGTAGTGGTGGCGCACGACGACCTAAAGAGAGACAGCAGCAGCAGCGAGGGAGAGAAGCGTAATACTAATTTCGAGGCGCCCCCCGACACACAATGTGCGCTTGCAGCGCGTTTGTAACAGTACGATATGTGGCGGCGGTGGTACGTACTGTACGACGCCGCGGCGCGCAATGCGATGGAAATTTTCGCGAGCAAGGCCCATTGTGAGTTCTCCCGTACGTACGTTAACGTAGCACAACGCGCATATAACAACGATATACAGTGCGCGTACGTTTTATGAGCCGAAATCGTTACGATGTCTGCCCGCGTTATACGTATATTGATATATACGCGCGCATCGTATACATCAAAATAAACTCTCTCTCGCGCGCGCGCGAGGCTCCGCGAGGCTATAAAATAGATTGCGCGAATATAGCATGTATATAGCGTTATTTCTTTTCCTTTCTACCCTGTTTTTTTCATTTATATAAAAAAAAACTCATAAACGTCGCGGTTGCGCTAGTATAAAAAATAAAATTGACGACCGAAATTAATTGAACGCGAGCGTCAACGAGCTGCGTTCAATATGCATTTATATATGAGAGACTCGACGTTGAGAGCAGATATATATTTGATTTACATCCTATATAATCACCGTATATCGGATCTATGAGCTGTGTACGATAAATGTGTGCGTGACGTTATATCCACAAACATACACGCGTCGCTCAAGAGGACCCAGGGTTCGCCGCGGGCGACTTCGAAATATTTGTATACGATGTAGTGACGCGATATAATACCGATTGTTCCGTGCGGCCTAAAAACGATTCGGAGCATCTGTATTCATAAATAAATACTTATTAACAAAGTCATATTTATGCAAATATAATCCTGCGCCTCGAGTTCTCGAGCATCTTGCGCGCTCGCGTATATAAGCAGCTTTTCCTGCGACTCACGCTCTTATCTAAGAGTTCGCGCGCGCCCGCGTCGGGAGGAGGTGGCGAAGTAGGAGGAGGAGGAGGAGGAAGAGGTGGGAAAGGACGTGGGCGAAGAACAACAAAGGGAAAATACCCTCGGCGCTTTACCCTACGCTTATGCTGCAGGCAGGCAGCAGCAGTCTTACTGTCACTCTGAAAACATCGCAACGCCGCGGCGTTCTCGTTCTTTCTTTCTCTCTCTCTCTCTCAGACCCAGACTTTTACTGTTTTCATAATAATTCAGTCCATTCCTTTAGCCCAAAGCTCTTCTAGCTCTGCTATTGCTGCTTCTACGCCGAGTTACTCTTTTGCCTCTTTCTTTTTTCGTTGCTCCTTTTGCAGCACCGAAATTGAAAAAAGCTACTGTAGTACCCACTGCTACTGCTGTGCTGTTGCACGAGAGAATCTTTGAAAAATGATTCGGTATATATTCGCATTCTTCTGTCTTCTCTCTTTTCTGCTACGGCTCATCTCTTTTTCCGTCCGCGTGTTAAACTGCGAACGCGCCCTCGAGACGACGACGACAATATAAATATACGGCTCGTCGACTTAATTTTATATACATATTATTATTTTGTTTCGAAACGCGCGCGAAAGCTCAAGTATATACGTATGTATAACGCAACGACGACGACTACGACACGGGGCCATGAGCCGGTGTGACCGCCGACTACGTCGACGGACGGACGGGGACGGATTATTAGTTTTAACTGACGTTAAGCTTAATTGTTGGAGTAATGCCTGGGAGTCGCCCAGAAAGGGCTCTAAACCGAGGACGTCTACGAGCACGAGTCTGTGCGCAGCGACTAGAACCCGCAAGCTCTCTCTCTCTTCGCATGATGTATTTTCAAAGAGGAGATATATAGAGAGCCCAGGCCAACGTGTGAGCTGCTAGCGGACATTTTAGACACAACCGGCGGCTACTCTACCGTACGCAGCAGCAGCAGCAGCGAGAGGAATATATTATATTCGGTGCACGCTGCTGCTGCTGCAAGCTCTCTGTCTCGTATAAGCTGCGCGCATATTGTATTACGAGCTTTAATTGACGAAAAAAAATAACAGAGGAGACTTTTACTTTTTCATTTCGCAATTTGAGAGGGAGAGCTTTAGAAAGTGATACTGTAAAATGTGTAATTTCGTTTGTAGCGTATACCTAATGCACACACAACTGAGCGCTTATACGATATATTACAGGCCGTTACTCGAGCCCGCGCCGCTACCGCGACAATCGATTTAGCAGAAAAGCCGCAGCGTGAGAGAGAGAGAGAGAGACAGATGTTGCGTGAGATTGTCGCGAGTGTGAAAAAAGAGCGTGTGTACTCGTTGTTTTTTATTCGTCACCCAAACATACACCACCACCACCACTACTACTACTACTACTACTACTACTACTATTAGTACTAGTACTACTACGTGCGATCACGCGTTTACAGCTGCTGAACAAAAAACTAGCAGAGTCGAGAATTTGTGTTTTCTCGCGCACTCG